CTGAAGCTTTGCTCATTCCCTGCTCCTTTCTTCATGGGTGCTGTTAGTATCAGTGGGTGCCTGAGGAAAGCCCAGAGCTGATCCAGTCTAGTGGTGAGCCAGCCACTTTCTGTTGTAGCTATTTGGTCTGTGTTAGCAGAGAAATAGACTTACCACCATTTGCCAGCTGGTAATTCTTGTGACAGTAAGGTTTTAGCCTGGGTAATTTTGCTTTCAGTATATTGTGATGTAGAATCTGTGGTCCTTCTGAGCGGTCAGCATACAAGGCAGTCTCCAGCCATGGGTCCCTGGTAGCTCTGTGTGCATCAGTGTTGTGAGCAGGAGTCACTTCTCAAGGCAACCTAAAGCTGTGTTGGACTTTAGAGGGAATAAGCCCAAATGAGCCTCTGTAATGAATGAGAGGAGCACACTTGGGAGCAGGCATTTTCTTGCAAGAGAGATGCATTTACTTTGGAATTGTGTTCTGGTGAGTCCCTGTCACTCTTTAGTCCTGCCCTGCGAGTGCTGCAATCAGTGTCTCTGCTCTGCAGGGTTCAGTGCCAAGGATGTGGGCTGCTGGCAGAACAGGGCAGCTGCAGGAGTCAGTACCTATGTGACACCATGATTAGCTGTTGGGAAGTGATTAGTTTAGTTCACAGTGGTACCTGTGATGCTTTGACCTTTTCTGGTTGCACCCAGTTTTGTCTCCTTTTGCTCTTCAAGCTCATGGCTGAAGTTAAGGGCACTTAGAGTGAACATAGTGGTGGTGAGAAGAGGTCTGGTTAAATGGGAAGCTGTGCAGTTTTTTCTTGCCACAAAGTCCTAAGATCAGTTGTGTCTCACTGACAAACAGCAAAGTGCTCACAGCCTGCATTCAGGAGCTGCATGCAAGCTGTTTGTTTGAATGTTATGGTTTCTTTTCTGCTGTCCCTGGCAGTATTCCCAGCTGTTGTGCTGCTTCCCCCTCTCTGTGTTGTAGAAAGCGGGGGAGAGGGTGACTTGCAGTCCTGGGACATTGCTGCAGAAGCATGGGGGACTTGGTCTGTCTTGTTGCTGTGCTTCAGTCATCATAGCCACAGTGGAATTGAATCCCTGCCTGTATTGTTGCTCCCATCAGGATCAGTCTTGGCTATTCATCACCCCTGTCTCAGCTCCCCTGTGCTGTCACTTCAGATTCAGAAGGAAACCTTCTCACATCAGAGTTAGTCACCCACCCAGGTGCACTTTTTGTCTGCAGAAAGTTGATCTGTCTTCCTCTTCCTATTCAGACACTCAGTTTCCTATCTGACAATAAAAATACAGTGATAGTCATCCTCTCCCCACAGGAAGAGCTAAAAGAGGTTTGGACAAAGGCAGGCCTCCTGAAATTGTCCCTTCTGGCATTTGTCTGAGATGCACTGTGTCTGTCCCCTGTTTTGGCTACCCAGAGAAGGTGTCTTAGAGATCACTGGACCTTGAGTATGAAGGAAATCTGGTGGGTCTGTGGTAGGTTTGGGTTGGAAAGGTGTAATAGCTGATCCTCAGATGAGGATCCAGGACCCCTAGAAGGCTTTCTGGTGATGTGCCAAGGCTGAGCAGCTTCTCTTGGCCAGTATTTGCAGGTGGCATTTCAAAGTTGCCAAACCCAACAGACTCCAGGAGCTTCTGTCCATGGTTAAATGATCAGGGACCAACATAGGGTGATGTGCTTGAGGGTTATACCATGCTCCAGTGAAGTTCCTGGTTCTTCCTTGCAGCATGGCAGGTCCCCAAGAGCCCCTGCCTCCCCTGGGCAGCCTGGCAAGACCAACGCGTTGCTGACTTCTCCTGTAGCTGCTGGATAGGTCAGCCCTGAGTATGCAGGAAGCACGTTTGTCTTTAATCCTGTAATTGAGAGCTTCAGTAACGACTTGCCTGTAAAGATCAAAAGCCAAGGTACAGGCTCCTTCCTGCCTGGTTCCAGACACGATTGGGAAGATTTCAGCTTCACTGCATCCAGGTGCCTCCTCTTACATGAGCAGCTCTTGTGGCTGTGCAGAGAAGCTGTAGGGTTGCCTGTTCCTCAGAGACCCTGTGTCTGGAGAACAGTATCCTGGCTTGGCTGAATGAAGTTTGTAACCTTACCAGGGTGGGGGAGCACAGATGATGGCAATACCCCTGCCTGTATTTCCCTCCTGAGTGCCAGGGCACACTTGGTCCCTGGAGAGGGTCTGCCATTTATGTGCTAAAAGGGGTAGTTGAAGCAGATGATGTCAGTGGAGAAAGCCTTGGTGGTCACTTAGCAAGTTACCAAGCAAACTATGGGGTGTGGAGGGCTGTTCCTATTGTGTAGTGAACAAAGCAGAGCTATTTGCTGGCGTGTGACAGGCGCTGGAGATGGAAGGAATGCCATTGAGATGGAGAGTCAGACAGGCGCTGGGGATGGAAGGAATGCATTGAGATTGAGAGTCATTTCTATGTGGCACTTCAGTGCTCGCCTAGAACAGACAGACCATGTGAAGATGAGAGGTGATGGGGCTGCCTCCCTGTGTGCTTTGCAGCCCTGATTCCTCCTCTCAGTGGTCCCATGCAGATCTACAGAGTTTCCTAGAAATGAAAGAAGCCTCTTTTCTCTCTCTCTCCCATCTGTACATGGAAGTGAGTACCTCAGCCTTGGATAAAGCCTTCACAGAGCAGCTGCCTTTCTGACTGGCTGTAAAGTCCAGGCTGGTCTGCTGGCTGTCTCTCTTCCTGCACGTTGCTCTCAGCACCCTCTTTCAGAGCCCTGAATGTCTTTTGAGCTCAGCTTTTCCCATCACTGAGCGAAAGGCAGCCTGCATGCAGCCTTTGGTGAGGATCACCCATTGACCTCCGCAGCCAGAGGGCTGAGATGTGCCCTTAGCCCACATGGATGGCCAGTGCGTGCTCCAAGGCAGAGCTGGAAGGGGCTGCTGTTGGTTTGTGTACAGCTGGAGGGAGCAGCTCAAAAACTACAGCAGAATAGGCCATCTGTCACTGCTGTGTAGGTCTGCTGGGCCCCACTGCGCTCAGCGTTTGACCTTGCCTTGATGTGCTTCCTTTTCCAGGGAGTAGAAGACCCTCTGCATCAGGGATAAATGCAGATTCTCACCAGAATCTGGCATGTCCTCTGCCTCTGCACACCCTTCCCAGCCCCCAGCAGTGGGCAAGTTCAGAACATAAAGCCTGGATCAAGAGAGAGGCAGGTCAGGGGCCTGTTGCTGTGCTAGGCAGGGCGATGGGAGGACAGGAAGCTGCTGCTCTTTTGATTGTCCTGTGCTGCAGTTGTGTGGGGCTGAGAAGCTCCTTCCCTGAGCAGCTGCTGGTGTTTCTGAAGCAGCTCCTTGCTCCGCGTGAGTAATGGGGCTGGCTGCACGCACACAGTGCAGCTGCAGCTCAAAAGAGCAGTGTGGATGGCTGTAGGAGCTCCTGTGGAATCTGTCCCTGGAGTGACTGCTCAGTCTGCAGGCTACAGGCTGTGCTGGCATTCACCTCTCTTACAAACAGCAGTGCTTGGCTTTCATAGCCATCCTCATCCACGGGCTGGGCATCATGTGAATTAAGCACCTTCTGCCCTGCTTACCTCTGCTTACCAACAGAGAGTAAGCCTGACCACCATGGCCCTGATGAGGATGCAGTGTCTGCTCACATAAAGCTTGAGTGGATTTTCTTATTGTCTAAGGCTGTATAAAAATAAGTGTTCTAAGCTCTGAGTGAAGGTTCTCATGGGAAGGCTGCTCAGAAGTGCAAAATGGAAAAGCTGGTCACTTCCTTCTGGAACTAAGCATGAGTGTGGTTTCTCTGCAGGTACAGAGGGCCTGACAGGTCAAGTGCTAGAGATGGTCTGGCTCACTTCAAGTGCAGCTAGTGGTTTTTCTGTACATCCACTGGTGTTGGGCAGTTGGTGGTAGATGCCAAGCAGCCCTGTCCTGGGGGTTTCCCCTGCCCTGTGCATCTGATTTTAATAACTCTGTGTGTTCACTGATGAGCAGTAAAGTTCCCTGGTCAAGACTATGGCAGCTAGTCACATCTTATTTTCTCTGTCATCAAACCTTGTCTTCCTCCCTGCTTTATAGAGAGGTGGTTTATGAGCCTAAGTCAGATGTTTGCTTCTGATTTTG